TTCTGGCCTCCATTCCCACTGAGGGCATTTTTCTAACGTGGTATAAAGAACAGCATCCTCCAGTGGAAGTAGTTTACCATTAGTCGTTCTCAAGGGTATAAATGTTTTTAATACCCTTAGCTGTTGGATGTACACCTTGCTCCCTGTTTCGGACCCAGGAGGCCAGCCTGCCCTAAAACAGGGACTTGGGAAGGACACATGAAATCAACATGGAACTCGGGATGGGGTGACAGGTTCCTCACTCCGAGTCTGCGCTCAGCAAGTACAAACAGCACGTGGCAATTTACCAGTGTGGTTTACCTTACACCCAGTGACCCTTCCTCCAGGCCTACACGTTGAGTTGAGGGGAAGGCCATTTGTTTGCACCACGGGGTCCAGCACCTTGGTTTACAGGTGGGAAAACCATCCTCCTTAACCATCCACTTCCCTTAAGTTCCTGACAGCTTCTGTCTCAACCAGGAGCTAGAGGGCCCATTGTGACAGGGGTGTGGCATAATCACAAAGGTCCCACAGGCTCAGCCCTCTGCTGAGCCCTGCTCCAATTATTCTGGTTACCAGGTCTCTGCTTTGTCTCCCAGCATCCACCTCTCCTTGACCCCAACTCCTGTGACCCAGCCTCTTCCGCCTCCAGATTTGCCCCTTTCCTCACCCCAAAGCCAAAGATTCTTAAAGGATGATGCCAGCTCCGAGCCCCAGATTCCAGGCAGGGTTGGCATTTCCCGGTGAGTACCCGACACTACGTCCTTATGGAAACAATTGGGTTTCCGAAGAGCAGGGCCTGTCCCCGTCCAGGCTCTAAGCTTTGATCTCATGAGCCTCTAAAGCTCTTGTCCCAAGCTCCCAGTCTCTCTTCTCATACTCAACCCGTCCCCTTTCCTTGCTTCATTACTGCTTCCGCTAAGATCTCCCTGAGCTCTCCTGAGGTCCACAGGCATGTGACCCCACACTCCCAAGAGCATGCGCACCTATCTGCTGTACCCTTCCTCAATTGCAACCTCACAGGGAGAGACGTTCAGCCCCCGAGGTCTAAGATCAGGGCACCAAGAAGAGACACCCTTGGTGCCCTAACTCAGGTCCTCAGCATTCTTAAACAAGTTCCTTTTCTGGGCCTGTTTCCTTCTGTGTAGGAGGAAGACGGACTACCAGATCCTCAACTGCCTTGCAGCTTTGATGGTCTATGATCCTGTTATCTGTCCTCACCCCCACTGAAAGAGCTACTGCCTCATTAAATAATGTCGATTTGCAAATTGTATTGATGACTCCTTACTGAAACATATACACACTACCAAGACCCAATCCCCACTTAGTCCCAATAAATAATTCTCAGAGACCTCGCCTGGGAAAGCGAAAGGTGGGGTCTGTTTGAAGAGGCCAAAGGCTCCCCTCTCTATGCCTTCTCGTGTCTCTGTTCCCAAGCACATGAGAGTCCAGAATGAGACACTTGCCTTAATGTTAGTCAAGCAACCTGACAGCCCAGGTCATCTGCAGGAACTAGAAAAGGTGTGTGTGGGGGAGGGGGGGATGACAGACAGCCATGGTGGTGTAGAGCAGTAGAAGGAACAGGGAGCAGGTGATGGAGATTTCTGAAACCTGATGCTACCATGCAAATGAGGTCAGCCCAGCATGCAAATGGACAAAGTCAAGTTGGATGGTCCGGGTGGGAAGCCAACAGCTTGGGTCTGAAGCCTCTGCAGGAGATAGGGGTTTCCCCTGGAGAAAGCAGGACTGCCTGGGGAGGGCTACGTTAGGGGCAGCGGCCCCCATATGCCCACGCAGCAGGGGTGGGGATTAAGGTTGGATGCCCTGCTGTCAGGTCAGCTCTGATGGATCGCCACTGATGGTGGGAACACAAAGGCTGCTCTGTGCCTGGCACCAATGTGTTCCCGTCCATCAGAGGGCAGCTTGTGGGGTGCTGGGGATGCGGAGGGGAAAGACCAAGGACTAGGCCCTGCTCTCAAACTGATGAGAGAACAAGGTGTCGGGAGGGCCAGAATCCCACCCTCTGTACTGGGATTTCGAAAGCCTGGGTGGGCACCCTTGCCCCACAGTGGGGCCTGGCATGCCTCGGTCTCCCTTATTCAGACATGCACCAAGACAGCTAAAGTCAAGGACCCACAGCGACCCAGACACACCACTGCCACCCCACCCAAACATTCACAGTGGTGGCGTTTCCTGCAGCCCAGAGCTGTGTCTACTCCCAGCCCTCATCCCCACTCAGGGACCAACGCAGAGTGAGTGGGTTGAACAGAGAAAGGGTTATTTATGCCTGTCTGTCCTCCAGACTTCCCTTTTGTCACCCAGCACGGCTTGTGGAAGGCTGAGTGTGGCTATACAATTATCACTCAGCTGTGAGCACTGGGTGGCAGATAGACGACTTCCTATCCCTGTCACCTGGCGCCCCTGGCTGAAAGAATTGGGAGGGGGGAATTCCCGCCTCCAGTCCTGCCTCTGTGGTCCACACGGTCACAGCAGACACCTAATTGGGGAACGTGAGGCTAAGAGCAAGCGAGGACACAAAAGCAGAGATGGCAAGGCCCGGATAAGCCTTCTGTTCACTGGGTGTTTCCATGTGTTGGACACACACGCGCGCGCGCGCGCGCGCACACACACACACACACATCCCTGCTGCCAATTGGACACATGTATGTGTTCCCAATCAAATCCACCCTCCTGCCCAAGCCAGTGGTTCGGACATTTATCGTCTCACTCCTGAATTACCGTCATGGGGTTTGGAGGTAATGTGGTTTCCTCGTCTGTTTTCCACGTCCCTCCATGCCCATTTGGGCCTCTCATACTGACAGACTTGTTTTCAGCCACACGGCCTCACCAGAGCCCTGAGAGCTACACAGACTGACCCATCTCCTCACCTCTTCATGTCCGAATTCTGCCGCGCCACCCCCCCCCCCCAGACCTGGTGCAGCGCTGTCCCCACCCCCGGCCCTGCACAGAGACTTGGCCTTAAGTGGCTTTGCCATTTGTTGCTTGCTAGTGATCCTTGTTGGCCTTGTTTGCTTTTGTCTTTGTTTTTTCTCAGAGTCCCCCAACTAGCCCAGACTAGCCTAGAACTGGCAGCCCTCCCGCCTTGTCCTCTCCAAGTATGGGACTAAAGGTGTGTGCCGCATGGCCACCCGCCCATCTCATTGGCTGTGGCTTTAACAGCTATGTGAGGCAGCATTCGCCACTAAGGGGCCAGGTCCACTTAGTAGGCAGCCGGGTCCTGCGAGCCATCGTAGAACAAGTCCTTTCTGCCCCCCGCTTCAGAGAAAGAAGACAGATTGTTTAGGGTAAGTCAGATTGGGTCCCGCATGGACAAAAGATGCCATTTTTAGGTTTCCACGGCAGCCGTGACACCCTCCACCTTTTTTTTCAGGGCTCACAGGACGGGAGTATAAACTGAACCAAAGTAAAATTGTGTTTGCTTCTTCTTTTTGAGGGGGCGGGAAGCGTGCTGAGTGCCAAGATCACTGTCTGGCCAGGTTTAGATGTCACATATTGTGCTGAACTTCATATCCCATGAGGGAAGTCAAGAAATGGATTAAGGCCTCTCTCTGCCCCAGTTTGCTGGGGGCTTTTTATGGTCCGGCTTGCCCCTTCCCATTTGTCCCTACCCCACCTCAAAGGACAGCACATTTTCTTGGCTCTCCCTGTGGCTCCAGGACGGACAGGAAGCTAGTCCTTCAGACCCCACAAGGCTCTGTCCTCCACTATGACTGAGTCCTCCCCTTAATGTCCTGACTGTCCATCACAATGTGTCCTTCTCCTGTTCCCCTGGAATGGGGATGGCAGGGCGGGTCACACTTAGGACGCAAGGTCCTGGGGGAAACCCTGACCTGTGGGTAAGTTTCTGAATTCCTGAAGCTACAGGTCAGTAGAATAAGTTGTCATGTGACATCCGCAGGAAGGGGAATTCAGGAAGCAGAGGTGAGGTCTGCAGCCTGACTTAGAACTGTCCTCCCTGGTCCCTGGCCACCAGTGCCTCTCCTTAGGTAACCACTGGCTGATGCAGCCGGAGATAAAATGGCGCGCGCACACACACACACACACACACACACACACACACACACACACGCGCGCGCCTGTCATTCTAGAGTTGTATGATGCATAGAGGTGATCACTTGGGCAGGAAGGGACAGAAGAACCCAGCCTGGTGACCCATGAGAGACACAAACAATATAAAGAATTATTCTCCTTACCACCCCAACTGCAGAGAGGAGTCAAGACGGTTCTAGTGTCAAAACAGGGCAGGAGACGCCATGGAGGGAAAAGCATGGAGAGATGATTAAGACTGACCAAGGAGGGAGACAGGAGGCCGAAGAGCTCTTAACTGGGGGAGAGGGGACAGCAATGCAGAGGCTGTGAGTTCGAATCCTCACTCAGCACTGACTTCCCCTCCTCCTTAAGAACACTCCTTGCCTGACAAGTTCTCAAGATCTCTGCCTCAATCTATGCCCAACTACTTGAGCCCTAAGAGAACACTAAGGTCAAACCAGCTGAGGAAACCCAAAAATCAAATCCATTTGCCATTTCTGCCTTTTGCCTCCGTGTATGTACCCTAGGGATTCCCGCCCCAAATTTGGGGTGGTCCTGCTGTGGTGGTACGTCATTGGGGGGGGGTCTCGTAGGACTGAGGCAGTATGGTTTCCCGTGCTTCCAAGCAGCAGAGAGAAGGCTACCCCTGTCTTGTGTGCTCCTGCCCTACCCACCAGCTGCCCTGGACCACGGAGGAAGCAGGCAGGCGGCCCGGAGAGGAGTAATTGAAAGGAGCAGATGAGAGCGGGGAATGCGTCCGCCCCCACCTTCCCTGCCCCACAGGGGCTGCGGAGAAATGAAAACTAATCAAGTTACAGCCGCCGGCCTCCCGACCCGTGCACAGGAGCCGCCTGGGCCAGGGGCAGGCTGGCAGGGCGGGGTGTGGGGGCAAAAGAAGAGGGGAGGGGAATCACATGTAATCCACTGTAAACGTCTTGATGTGCAGCAACAGCTTAGAGGGGGCTCAGGTTTCTGCGGCGTTGGCTATATTTATCTCTGGGCCCATGCCAGCGGGGAGGGTTTATATGGCACCCAGCAGTTGGCGTGAGGGGCTGCAGGAGCTTGGGGACCGGTGGCAGGGACGAGTCTTTTCCGACCCGATGGAGCTGTATGAGACATCCCCCTATTTCTACCAGGAGCCCCACTTCTATGATGGGGAAAACTACCTGCCCGTCCACCTCCAGAGCTTCGAGCCCCCGGGCTATGAGAGAACTGAGCTTAGCTTGAGCCCGGAAGCCCGGGGGCCCCTGGAGGAAAAGGGCCTGGGGACCCCCGAGCACTGTCCGGGCCAGTGCCTGCCGTGGGCGTGCAAGGTGTGTAAGAGGAAGTCGGTGTCGGTGGACCGGCGCAGGGCGGCCACGCTGAGGGAGAAGCGCAGGCTCAAGAAGGTGAACGAGGCCTTCGAGGCCCTGAAGAGGAGCACGCTGCTCAACCCCAACCAGCGGCTGCCGAAGGTGGAGATCCTGCGCAGTGCCATCCAGTACATTGAGCGCCTGCAGGCCTTGCTCAGCTCCCTCAACCAGGAGGAGAGAGACCTCCGCTACCGAGGCGGGGGCGGGCCCCAGCCCGTGGTAAGTGGCTGGGGCACCAGTCCTAGGGCCAGGGCCAGGGCCAGGGCCAGGGGGAGGTGCCTGGTCAGCCTCGGGCCACCAGAACTGGGACAGGTGCAAAGCAAGGCCCTGGGGAATCTCCCCCCCCCCTTGTCTGCTAGGCTGTCTGTCTGTCTGGAGGTGTCAGCTAGGCTGACTGTCCAGGGAGCTTCCATGCTCATTGTGTCCCCAGACCAGACAAAAGGCGGTGGACAGGAAACACACATGGGGCGGAGTGGACTGGCACAAGCCAACAGAAGGGGCCTGGAGGGCCTGAAGTAAGGGCTTGCTTAGGGGAGCCCAGGGGAAAGTGAGGGCTGACGCCCATGCTCGAGTCAGCACCTAGAAGGGACCAAGGGGCGAAAGGAACCTGCTCTGTCCCAAATCCACGACCTCCACGGCTGAGCCGACAAAACACATTAGGACTGCTCCCAGTTCATCATAACAAAGAACTCTAGACTATCACACTCACCTCCAAAGTGAAGGCAAAGCCCCATCCTAGGAGCCAGGAAAGACCTAGAAAGCGGGGTGTCTATGGAGAACCTTCTAGGGTGGGTAACCTACTCCAGAACCCGGGCAGAGAGAGTTTATACCTGAGGATGGCAGGAGACTTGACCTTGGATATTGGCCTTGTTTTACAGGTGCCCAGTGAATGCAACTCCCACAGCGCCTCCTGCAGTCCAGAGTGGAGCAGCGCACTGGAGTTCGGTCCCAACCCTGGAGGTAACCATGGCTCAAATCAGTTAGTCCCTAACTATGCTGGGCTATTTATTCCCTTACCTCACTCCAAGTTCCGGTCATCTTCCTGTGGGCTCAAATGGAGGGCTGGGGGCCCTGTGCCTCCCTGTAGCCTTAATCAACTAAGGAGTAGCCACAGACTCCAACAGCATCCCAGCTGGTGTCTGACCTCAGAGAGAAGAGCCTGTCCCTGCCCCTGGGGTCCCTGGGAATTGCTGAGTCAGTGTTGCAAAACCGGGCCCAGTTCCCTAGGATACACTATCCTGGCTTCACCTTGGGACAGCCACTTCCAAACCCTAACTACATTAGAGGATTTCAGAGAGGCAGCACACAAGTACACACACACACACACACACACACACACACACACACACACACAGCATGGGGAGTGCTCGTGGCTATGGGGAACCCTGACTCTTGCTCACCTATGTGTCCTGGGAAACCTGTGCCCATGCCCTTTGCCCAGGAAACCCTGCTCTCTTCTCCTTGCAGATCATCTGCTTGCAGCTGACCCTACAGATGCCCACAACCTGCACTCCCTCACCTCCATCGTGGACAGCATCACAGTGGAGGATATGGCTGTTGCCTTCCCAGATGAAACTATGCCCAACTGAGATTGCCTGCCAGGCTGGGTGTCCGTGTGTGAGCCCCCAAGTTGGTGTCAAAGGCCACCACTTCTGCCTCAGGGGCCTTTTAAGCGAGGTTGTCCTGGTGCCAAAAAAAAAACAAAAACAAAAACAAAAACCCAAACAGCCCTAGGCTGCCATAGGCCAAACTACCCACTCCCCATTCATATAAGGCTAACACCCAGCCCAGGGAGGTAACAGATGCCTTTATTTAGCTGACTCCTTACAGCACAGAGCATCCTCTTCCAAGAAAAGAAAGGTGGGGTCCAGAGAACCCCCTTGTGGGTGTCCCCCAATGAGGCAAACTCAGGAGCTTTTTAAAAATCGCAGTACGCCTCTAATTCCACCCCACATGAGAGACAGACAGTGTTCTGACCTGGGCAAGCATGCCCATCTGTTCACTCTCTTCCTGATGCCAGCGGCTGGGCTGGGCCTGCCCTGAGTTGAGAGGGGAGAGGAACTACCCTGTCCCAAAGTCCCTGGGGGCCAAGCTTTTGCGGTGGATATTGGGAACCTTCCAGCGGTTTGTGTTTTGTTTTGTTTTGTTTTGTGTGTCGTTTGTAAAGCTGCCATCTGACCAAGGTCTCCTGTGCTGATGTTGCCAGGGACAGGCAGGGAAGGGGGTGGGGCTCTTGGGGTGACTTCTTTTGTTTACTCAGCATTGTGTGGTTTTGCCAATTTTTTTTTTTTTTTTTTTTGTAATCCTTTTTGCTAACTTATTTGGATTTCCTTTTTTAAAAAACAAATAAAGACTGGTTGGTTGCTAGAAAAGTGTCTGCAATGATGTACCGTGAGGGGAGCCCCTGACAATGCTGAGCCTTCCCCTTGGGGTTCTATATACACAAGGCGTAGAGGGGGAAAACTCGGGGTGCAATCGTGTGAATGGATGCTGCGGTCCTGAACTGATCACTACACACAGGAGCCAGGTGATGCATGGCCGGGAGAGACCCGTCCCTCAGAAATCCTGGACCCACCAAGGCCAGCCTACCGAGCACTCTGTTGTACTTTACTTCAGAGTTAGTCACAGTCTGCTGTGTTCCAACTCACAGCCCAATAGGTTCACTGAGCATGCTCAGACCTAGTGCTCAGCCCACACATAGGTTGCAGGTGTAGAGATGGGTTTTCGGGGCCTTCCTCCCTCCACCCTGTCTCCCCACGGGGTCCACATGACCTCAAGCTCTACAGAAAAACAGGAGGTGACTACACAGAGCAAATGAAGTCAGACACCGTCTCTTCTTCACAGGACCGATAGCAAGTCCCCTTACCACCCTCTGCCCTGCCCTCCAGGCACAGGGGTGTTCCTGTCCCCATCTGCAGCTCAAAGATGAGACCGTGATGAGGGAGCTGAGGTGAAGCTATGGCTCTCGTCATTTGGGATGCTACTTTTCCAAAGGCTGGCTTCCCAAGGGGAGAAGGTGGATGGGAAACCGAGAGCGAAGGCCGGAGCTGGAGACGCGCAAGGGTTAACAGAGAGGACCAAGAACACAGACTTCAACTTTGCCAGTTCCCGTTGTGTCGTGGTGACTGTCTGGTTTACCGCAGATAATGTCCTAACCATTGCAGGCAGGGAGGGATTCAGCACGTGGTCCATCCGCGGCCCTCTACAGCTCTCTAGGACCCTTTAAACGAGCCAGTTTAAGAGGGGCGGGTGCTAATGGTCGTTCTATTCTTGCTCAAGCTCAGACAGGCCCCTCCCCAACTTTCCTGGAAAAAAAAAACTATACCTAAAGACAGCGTGGGGGGGAGCGTTAGGGACTGGGGAGGGTGAGACAGTAGCCCCCATGGAAGTCTGTTTGTCCATCCTGAAGAGGAATATCTCAGCCTTGATCTACTGCCCTTGGGATGAAGTAAGTGCCTGCATCACACCTTACCTCTACTCTAGTGTGCTCTCTTACGAGCACCAAAACACTCGACCATGCCACTAAAAGGGCCCTTCTGAGATTTATGCCCTGCATCCCAGTGCCTCCCAGAGTTCTTGGGTGGGTACCACCCCATGCCTTCAGTTGAGATGCATCTATCTAGGCCCCCTGCAAGGGTCTAGTGCTGGCCAAGAGCAAGGGCACTCGATGAATACCATGGATCTCATGGCTGCTGGGGATAATAGTGTTAAAGACCTTGCTTTTCAATTATGTCAACTGGAAACTGAGATGCAAGAATGGTCCCTCGAGTCACTGACCCCCACACTGGCAGGTATGATCAGGACTTGCACGTCCTCAAGTCACAAATGGGACAGCACAGCATGGACATGAATGACTAACCCTGCCACACAGGGGCCCAGGATTATTTTCACAAAATAAACGTTATTAAGCATAAGGGTTTCCCTAAATTAACAAACTCTCAATCTTCACAATAGAATTACAGACAGCGTTCACGTTAATGAATAATGAGGCGGAGTTCTTTAGGGAAATTAACTTAAATTCCCTCAATGGGGGGGGGGGTAACTACAATAAATCAAGCTGGGTTAATCAAGTGTTGTCTAATAATGGACTTTAAGGGATCCACAAGAATGAAAAGACAAGAATTACGAACTGGCGTGCCAATTGTTAGCGTGGATGTAGGAACTTCCTGGTGTTTGGCTAATTATTATAAATTATAGGATGCTTAAAGTGCCATCTGTGCCCTCCAGTAAACATTCTGAGGTGTCGAACTTCCCAGAAAACCTTCCCATTAGGCGCTTCTGGTGTGCTAGGTGTTTGGGGGCAACTGGTGTCAGAACAATGGTAGGAGAGAGGAGTCCCCTCTACTCAGGCGTCTGTTCCACGGACGAAATGCCACCCTATCATCCCCTAACACGCCATGTCCATGTTTTAGTTTCCTGGTTTCTAAGGCTCGAGTTGGGATACAGATGGCCAAGGGGAGCTAGAGCTCCGCATGAGATTGGTTCAGGCCTTGATAGGAACATACACCACCACCCTTTGGTGAACGTACCCACTGTGATCTCTCAGCTAACGCTGACCACCCAGACCCAGACTCCTGGTCTCTCTCTCTGTTTAGAACATTTCCAGAAGAGCAAAGCAAAACAAATTCTTCTCTGTTTTCTCCAAATGGCTAAACAAGTCCAATGCTAAAGCTGGGCATTGGCGGTGCATGCCTTTAACCCCAGGCAGGCAGATCTCAGTGAGTTCGAGGCCAGCCTGCTCTACAGAGCAAGTTCCAGGATAGCTAAGGCCGTACACAGAAACCCTGTCTCAGAAAGGCAGAGAGAGAGAGAGAGAGAGAGAGAGAGAGAGAGAGAGAGAGAGAGAGAGAAGGAAGGAGACGAGAAGAAAGGAAGGAAGGGAGTAAGCAAGCACGGTGCTAGCTAGGGTCTCAACCGGAGCCCAGCATGTCTGAACACCCATTTCCAGACAGGACTGCTCCTCCTATATCCCCTGCGCAGTGGCTGGCAACACGGGGAAGTCGTGGCATGTCCTGTAACCAGTTGCTATAGTTCATCAGTTACGCCTTTGACCCTGAGGGATGGGAACACTGAGCGGCTTGTAGACACATCTCACCTCTCTTCGCCTTTCCTGGGCTCTGCCTAAGTCAGTATCTGGCTCTCTTCCTGTCCTGTGCCCGTGGACTCTGTCGCTCTTGCCTAATCAGTGTTTGGGGCACCAAGGGCTATGGAAGGGACACAAGAATGTGGTGTGTGTCATGCCACATGGCTCATCACTCAAATGAGTGGGCCATGTCCCCAGGATGATTCACAGGTGCCAAGGGCCACTTGAGTGGTCCAAACAAAAGGTATGGAGGAAAAAGAGTTAAGATATCTGGAGAAATCATGACACTGTCTCTCAGGAGCAGTCCTGGCAAGAGCTCAGGAATTTACCGTACAGATTACAATTAAGGACAAGGAATTGGACTCAGACCTAGTCCTGAAATCCACGTCTCTTACAAGGTGCGTGACCTTAACCTGGCAATTTCCTGTCCTATAAAATGGCAATGATGTCATACTGCTGGCTCATGAGGATTAGATTGATTAATTAATTAATTAATCAATCAATCTGATCACTGCAAGTTAATCTGTTTACTACAAGTTATAATCTGGGTGCTTGGGTTTCTTCAAAATTCATATTCAACTCATGTTCGGGGCTGGAGAAATGGCTCAGCAGTTGAGAGGGCTTGCTGCTCTGCCACAAAGAGCCAAGCTTGGACCCCAGCGCCTCCTCACAGATGGTGTGCCTGAAGCTCTAAGGGTCCCTCATGGCTTCTGGCCTCCGCTGACACACACACGCACACACACACACACACACACACACACGCACACACGCACGCACACACACGCACACAACACACACACGCACACACACACACGCGCGCGTGCGCGCGTGCGCGCACACACACACAACACACATGTGCACACTCACATGTAGATTTCAAATTTTTTTCTAATCTTTAAAATACCTACCCGCAATGCAATGGCACTAATGAAGGCAATTAGGGCATGAGGGCGGTGCCTCCGTAAGAGGCCTGGCAACTTGTTTGGCCCTTGTCACCCTTGAAAACACCCTGACAAAATACCATTTCTGAAGACTGGGCCCTCGTCAGAGAGTAAATCTGCCAGAGGCTTGCCCTTGGACTTCTCAAACCCCAATGCTATGAGAAACACAGTTCTGTTGATTAAAAATGACCCGTGTAAAGTTATTTCGTAACAGCAGCAGGACGGGCAAGGGTCTGGCACCCAGCAGCCCTCGGGGATTTGTCGGCTTTTATTAACATTAACCCTGCAACGAGTCTCCAAGACGAGATCAGTCAATTCACGCATTCCATGTAGAGATCAGCTGACCTGAGGGGCCCTGTCACAGCCCACTCAGAAGACAGGCACAGAGACAGCACGCGCACATGTACGACGGGTGTGAAACGTCCATGGAGCTGAAGGATGTTGGTTACCTAATTCTACCGGCTCCCATGAGAGACTTGGAAAGGAGCTGAAGGGTCAAAGTTACAAAGGCAAGAAAGCGAGCTGCTGAGATGCATTCTGGAGGAGGCACTGGCGCACATAACATCTCTCATTAGACAGATTCCAACTGGTGGGGACAGGAGAGGGCCAGGGACAAAGTTATGGATAGCTTCTTAAGGCCACCCAGTGGACGGACTGCCGGACCCCGAAGTAAATAAAGCATTGGAGACCTACC